AGTTAGGGACCACAGCACCTCTGATACACACAACACAGGAGATATTAAAAGTGGGTAGGAGGCAATGAGCAATAAGCATCCTGGGCCACTATGCCTTTTAATCCTGTGGCTCTCTTTCTGTCTGAATTAGCTGGATTCTGTGGGATAACTTGCTAGGCATTTAGGGAAATGAGCTACACTGTTTTGTCTTGTGTAGCACAATAATTGACAGCATCAAATTAACTGAGCACCAAGCTGGGATCACACAGTTACACTGGCAGGAGAAATTAAATAACATTAATTAGAGGGAGAATATGGAACTCTTTCTGCCTGGAATGTCTCTTCCCTTAGCTGTCAAAAGCCTCCATGGTTTGGCTTATTAGGAGCCAAGTTGACAGGACAGCTGAAGGGAATAAAGGAGCATTCTCCACTGTGTGCCCAGCCAGCTGAGGGATGACTTGAGTTCAAAACTGACTTTTAAAGAACAGCAGAAGGTTAATTGAACTTTTATCCCAGCCACCATTAATCCATCTGAAGGTCCCTCTAACTAGACCACAGACAGCACTTTTGCTCTTATGTCAGTACAAGATCAGGTAAGTAATATATGTAAGGGAGAAAGAATCAGAGATATTAAAGCTTTTTTCAGTTTCCAGAAACCAAAGCAATCTTCTGCTACAGTATTCTTCCTACTAGCTATGCAGTTACTTGTACATATTCCATGTTAAAACTACCTCCACAACAATTTCCCCCGTTTTATTTACATTTGATATAAATCAGACTCTACTCTGCAATAACAAAAGGAACTTCATTTGCTGAGGTACAATGAGCTCTCATTTCTCACTGAGCCTATGGAAGAGGTCAACAGCCAAAACCATCGAAGGTTCCTTGTATCACTTGAAATTGCTTCCCTGCACCTTCTGTTCTCTGATACACTGAGAAAGGGCCAGGAGAAACACCAGAGATTCAGTTGTGACTCAATTCTGTACTCTGTGATTTAAATTCATGACAGCTTTTATGATAGAACTATAGAATGGGAAATACGATATTGCAAACAAAGTATAGAACAATTAGTTACACTTAAAATGGTTTATTAGCCATTTTTTGGCAATCAAGCATGTTTGCATATACTCTTTCAAAAAACAATGTCCACCTTGCAGTACTCTAAAGTTCAGAAGTTTCTTTGAGTCTTACTTAAGCCTCTTGAATCTAAGCAGCTACATGATTTCAAATAGTAGCTGCATCATGTAAAAGGTCTTAGAGAGGAAGATGCCAAAATGGAGTAAAAAATCGTAGTCCTTCCAATAAAAACATTATTTTTTGTTTGCATTATTTGCTAAATTAAACCTAAACATATTAATCATTTTTCTCAACCCACAATTGCATTTTTTTCAGTTAATTCTCCCTCCAATTTCTCTCAGCTTTTCTTACATGCTCTGTGTATCTACTTTCCTTTCATAGACAATGGCATATCTTTCTTCCATATTTAGAAACATAACTTCTCTTAAAATGATGCTTCTATGAAAAAAAACTCACTTGGACGTGCTGTGACACTTGATGGCCTTGAAAACTGTGCCCAAGAAAGACAGATGTGACAACTGCATGACCCCTGAAGATGCTTTAAAGGGCATCTGATAGATAATCCACTGCTCTTACCACACAGATGTAATGTCACAGCTAGAGGGAACAAGAAACTGTATGTATGAGAAGTTGTGGGCCAGTCAAATCAAGGAGAGCAAAGAGGGAAAAAAATCCAAGGAGAAAACTTGAGCAGATCACTCTTTTCTTCTGTTTCCTATAGAACCCAGAGGAAGGAATATGTGCACTGACTTTTTCCATCCCGGTCTTTTCCAAGCTTCACCTATAAGCAAGAGGAGCCAAGAAGGCATCAAAGACACTCCACCAAAAGGCTCACTCTTGCACTCAAGATGTAAATCTTAGAGAGCAGCGTTGACCAAAGGCTGCCTGCAAAAGCTATGGAAGAAGCTTCCCTGGTAAGTGTAAGTGCAGGATCCTTTGTGCACAGAGTTAAATGGGAAGTTACTTCAGCTTCAGGGAGAAAGTATCTAGAAATCTCACAGTGCATTACATGAGATAAATATTATCAATTACAGTTAAATTAGATGCAAAACATATATTTTACCAGTTTATGATGAAGAGTATTTCCTAAAATGTCAATCAAGTTTAAAAAGAATGGGCTTGGTTGTTTTATTAATCCATTTGAGTGAATTTCAAGTTGCTGCTTATTTTGAGAAAGTAAGAAAGAATCTGCAGCATCATAAAAATACAGATGCTGTTTCTTATATTTTCTACTCATAAAAAAGGGGAAAAGAAAAATGTGAAAGGCTTGGAGCTAAGGTATTTGGTTTGAGGATCAGTTGAATATTTCATTTTGTCTGTAGCAGTAATTATAGACTTGATTATTATATAAATACTGCTTCACGTTAGTTCTATGGCCAAACACCTAAATTTAGAGTTAATATTTTTTCATGACAGTTTCAATAATAAACATTATGATCAAGTCTAGGTGTACATTACAGTATCAAAATGCCTCCTTTTTAAGCACTTGGTGGAATCACTGTTACTGTTCTGCTATGGCTTAGCTAGTCTGCCTGTAAAAATGAAGATTTATTTTTATGCGGCTTGAACTAAGATGACTGAGTTTTGATGTGTGCTCACCCTTAACTACTAATATTGTGTGCAATGGCAGTTTAAATGTTTTGTTTTCAAATAAACAGGCAAATGGACTGTTATTTCTATAAATACTAACAGGATCATGCCCAAGCACTGGGATTTTTCAGCCTGAAGCAAGAGGAAACCACACATTTTCTGTTTATTTTTGTGGGTTTTACTATTTTGAGTAACATCAAGCCCTGAACTGAAGATATTCTGACATTTCTGGTTACTTTGAAGGAAAACAAGTCACAGTAATTTCTTAGCAAGCTAGGTCAACTTATGCTAAGTCACTAAGTGATAAAAAAATATTTGCTGTGACAAGAATATATGCAATGTCCTCCCGGATGTCCATCACCAAGTCTTTTGTGATGATGCTCAAAAGGAATAAATAGGAAGATGGGAAAATGCTTGATGGATGGCCTGGTCCTACTAATATGTATCCAAATTTACTCATTTCCCATCAAGTGTGATTGTGTAGGGATATCTCAGAACTGTCCTTGTCTCCTTAACTGAGAACAGATGTTGAGTGATATCAGATGCTCTTTTCTGTTCTCTCTTCCCCTGACCTCAGTTTTAACATACACATGAAGGACAAAATACCAAGGTTCTTGTGCTGCCTTTGGAATATGTAAAACCTGAGCATCAGCTCTGAGGTGCAGACCCATGCATTTGTACATGCTCTTGTGGTTTTCCTTTGTCGCTGGCTACTTATGTTTTGAAGGTGCAGGAATGAACAAGTGCCTGGGGTTTTTTGAGCAATACCTCTGCATCTTTTGCTTGGCTTCACCTAGTAATAACCAGTAGATGGTCTGCAGGTAACAAAATACTGGTTAAGAATTTTAACTCACTTTTTGAATAGACAAATTCAAACACCACTAGACGACAGAAGTTTTACAAGGGTGTCAGAATATCCCTTGAAACTAAAGGCTTTTTGCAGCCCAGAGCTGTTGCTCTAAATCTCTGTTCAGTCTGAAACAGTTTGACCTCTGTATCTCATTTCTTTGCACTAATAAACCCCTCTAATAAACAGAGAAAAATGATTGAAATAGGTAAATACAGAAAAAATTGGGAAGGAGAAAGCTAATGAACTCAATTGCAATCACTATACCAGTATTGCCTTAACTTAGAAGTATTGATTAAATAACTGAATATTTACATCTTGTACTGGAACCAGTGAAGGTAAATGATGCATTGCAAAGCAAACAGAAGCTGACCTTTGCACGTTTTCCCATCAGGCTGCAGGGTAAATCCAACTGGGCAACTGCATCGTACCCCTGTCGCGGTATCCTTGCAAGTCCGATCACAGCCTCCGTTATTGACAGCACATGTTTCTGCAGAATGAAAGAGAAAGAGAGAGAGAGAGAGAAGGAGAAAGGGAGTGTAATGAAATGTTCTGGGGGAGGGGAGAGGCACTGACTCTTTGGTGCAATATGACAACATACTAAAAGCAATGTAAGTTTAAGGAAGCCAACCGAAGCAAGCTCTCAAGGTCATCAGGGCCCATGTACTGGTTTTGACTGGTAAATCATTGCCACAATTTATCATTTCTTTCTCCTCCTAAACTGGAGGTTTTACTTATTATATTTATTTAGTGCATTTCAGTGACTTAGACAATAGGATGGGTTATTACATATGAAACAAGTTAAAAAAAGAATAAAAAAGTGATGGCCTTTGAAAGCAGAACCAAACATTTTATCTGTTTTGCATCAGTCAATGTCTAGCTGAGGCTTTTTAAGGTTCACTTTTAAATGATGTTGTAAGCATAATGAACTTTAAAAAGGGTAGAGAGCAAAGCAGTGTGCTAGACTTGGAACCGAGAATTTAAAATCCTTAGTTAAGAAAGAGTTAATGGAAAATGAACTACATATATCACTTTGACAAGAATCTACATGCCCAATCTGTTCTTACTGAACTACAAGCAAAAGGCATCTGGGTTTTGTCCACTTAAAGCTTTTTGCAAATTGAAAGGAGTTTGGAGTGGGTGGGAGGGCATAATTGAGGTCACTGAACCCATTCCAAGCTGTGTCATTGAAATTTCCCAGTGCTTGTAGTATGTAGAAGGGTGGCTGGGCAAACACAGGCAAGAGAAAGTTGCAATACTTCTGAGCTCTTACTACCGTGGGCAATGACTACTAGGTACCCCTACATTAAAAAAAAACCCTTCAAATTCATTACAGAAAAAGCAAAAATCCCTCCCTCATTGCCATTATTTTCTGTTTCTCCTGATGCACATGCGCGCCCCGTACACATGCATACGCACACATACCCACAACACACCCACAAAATAGATAAAAGGCAAGTGAAATGATTAACTTTGCTTTGATCCAGAGAATAGAGTGGATGTAAGGATGCCAATTTAGCACGTCAGTTCGAACTGTGCATTTATCTGAAAAGTATTTACTTCAGAGAGCAAGTCCTTTTAATAGTATCTTTTTCAGTTGCTCTGGCTTTGATTAAATTAAAATACCCCACTGCCCCCCAAGATTGCCATTATTCTACTCAGCTCACCTCATTCTGCCTTTCCCTAAAGAGGCTTTGTCATTACTTACTCAGATTTACAGACTCCTATTGCTGAATATTCACAGCCTGTGTCACAATTGTACCCTGTGGACAGGGTCTGACAATAAGCTATAGGATATGCTAATTGGGAATTGCCTTAGAACAGTACATTGATCAAAAATTATTTACACAGAACAGAAAAGCTTTTATCTTTCAATTGACTAGCACTAAAAGATTTTTATTTTAAAGTAGCCTCTGCTTTGCCCTCAAGGTGAACTTAGACTGGCCCTTTGGAAGGACTTCACTCCTTAAAAAAAAAAAAAAGTGTAACTGGTTGGGTTTTTTTCCTTTTTGCACTGGCACAGACCTCTGCATCAGTTGTGGAATAAGCTCTTATGAACAAATGGCACTTATGAACAAACTGGAAGCAAGGGGTTGGGGCACACATGCATTAACAGCACAGGACAGAACTCGGAATGTGTACACATTGACACATGCTTCTCCAGCTAGATTCTACTTTTTTTATGCCACGTTTCCTATGTAATAACATCATGTAGAGAGAGCAATCAGTATACAAATGGATTTGCATATAACTGCCAGGCAGCTGAGCTAACAAATGGCTTGACATGTTTTCTGGAACAGCTTTCTGAAAATGGAGCTGAGTCTGCAACTCCTTTTTTTTCAGGCAGAGTTCTTGCTCACCTTAGGTAGAACTAGCAGGACCTGAACCTAATTATTCAAGTAATATAGTTCTGATTTTCATTTACTCCTCTGGGAAGGACTATTTTATAAAAGCTGACACTGCTGCTTGAAGAATCCTTCCGCAAATGACAATGCTGGCACTTCCATTTGTATGTGAACCTGTGTGTGTCCTCCTAGGCCAAGACATCAAATAATTTTGTTTCAAAGAAGGGAAGAAGTTTCAGGCCACTCAAAAATTTTAACTTGGGTACAGTTTAAGGGTAGCATGATTTGCCAGGAGTAAAGAGTTAAGGTTAAAAACCAGCAAAATGTGCTGGAGATGACATTTGGCATGGCACTGCAAAGAGCAGTAAATCTTATGTTAGCAGATGAACTTTGGCATATGAAGAGCCCTTCATTGCAATTCGTCAACACGAGATGAACATAAGCAGTAATATTTCTGCTTTCTGGATGGCATCCAGTGAAAATGAATAGACACAACAATTTTTTTTTTCTCCATGGCATGGATGACTGGCTCTATAGGGTAAGGGTCATTCAGTGAACAAGAGTTATTTCTACGCATAAAGAGAAGGAATCAAGCCAGCTTTTCTTAATTTCACACAGATTTAGTAAAACAAACCAAAAAGGATAAATAAATACCTTTCAACTTTCCTAGTGACTCTGAGTTTTCTACATGATGAGCTCCTAACAGAATGAAGATCCAAAGTGATCAAGAGGACATGTGACAGTACCTCTAACATTTTGGATAATTGGAGAGATGTATTGATGAAATTCCTTAAACTCAAGGTCGTGAGAAAACATTCGTAAAAGAAAGCAAACATGAATAGCAGAATGTGGGAAAGAGGCATTGTGAGCTACATCAAACAGAACAGCTGAGGCCTACATACAACACCAACTTAAGAACATCTCCACCTGTGTTTCTCACAGAAATGACTTCAACTCATTCTTCACCTCACTACTATCAAACTGTAGTAGATATTTGAAATGCAAATCCAACTTTTAGGCCTCAAACAAAGAGCAGAAGCAAATTACTCATTTCCATGCTATCATGTTGGAAAAGCTATACTTATACGTAAGGGAGAGAACAGATCAGGTCTTCATAGTGATATTGGTACTAAAGACAATTTTCACTTGTATTTCTCTATGAAAGACTCTCAGCATTTTAGCATTTTTATTTGTTTGTTTGTTTCAAACTTTGTTGCACATTTCTGATGTTTTTTGTTCTGAAGAGGGAGCAGAAAAAGAACCAGAAGACATGAGTAAAGCAGTGTCATATAACTGACATTTAGATTACTTCTGAATTATAATAATTTGAAACAATTAGAATTTACTGTGAATTTAAAGCAATGATTGTAGTCCCATCTACATCAAGAAGGACATGGAACTCTCGGAGCAAGTCCAGAGGAAGCCACAAAGCTGATAAGAGGACTGGAGCATCTCCCCTATGAGGACAGGCTGAGGAAGCTGGGGTTGTTCAGCCTGGAGAAGAGAAAGTTGCGTGGAGACCTCAGAGCAACTTTTCAATATTTGAAGGGCCTACAAGGGAGCCAGAGAGAGACTCTTTGTTAGGAACTACTGATAGGACAAAGGGTAACAGGTTCAAATTGAAGGAGGGAAAGTTTAGGTTAGATATTAGAAAAAAGGTTTTTCCTGTGAGGGTGGTAAGACACTGGCACAGGTTGCCCAGGGACATGGTGGCTGCCCCAACCCTGGCAGTGTTCAAAGTCAGGCTGGATGAGGCCTTGAGTATCCTGGTCTAGAGGGGAGGTATCCCTGTCCATGGCATGGGATTGGGACTAGAAGATCTGTAAGGTTCATTCCAAACCCTAAAATTATATGATTCTATGATAAAAATTCTATGATTATTGAAGTCCCACCAGAAAATTCAGACAGAAAAAGTGATCTAAAGAAAAGGATGTCTTATTTGCATCAGGCAGTCTGGGAGAGCTCACATAGTGGTTTTCCACTGTGAACTCCTAATTGTGCAACAATCTCTCATGTATCTGCTGAATGGATCTATAGACAAGAAGTAACTAAAATCATTACCAACATGCTATACCTATGGCTTACTCCATTAGGATATTTATTGCTTTAACAACAGTCCATTGCACTATGGAATATGCACTACTTCTAGACATTAAATTGTCCACTTAAAAAGTGCAACTTGAGCTGTTGGTCCTTCAGCAGTGTTCCTGGATCAGGAACACTGACTAGGTACCAGGGGAAGTTCAGTGTCTGCAAGGGTCTAGCAGTGAAAGAGCAGTTCTCCAGGTTCTAGTTCTGAAGCTTTTGAACTAAAGCAGAATCCCTACCAGGTGGCAACAGAGCATGGTCACTCAAAAAGAAGAGAAAGAGGAGTCCACCAGAGAGGATTTATTTAGCTTTGAATACTCTTAAATGCCTGAAATTCTGAACATGTCTCATGGTTTGAGAAAATTTCTGAAAACCTAATTTTTAGCTTCTTTTATGAAACAAGAAAACATAACCATTTAAAACATAAGCTTTCCATCAAATCTGGGTGTTTTTGTTTTTTTTTTAAGAAGCCAATTATTTCATAAAGCCAATTTTTGTGACTTCAATTTATATCATGACCAAAAGCACATGATGTGATTTTAAGGGTATTGGGAAAAATCAGGCAAATGTTGGAATGTTTACTATTCATTTTTGGTAGCCTGGTTCAATCTGAACCAGTTTCTTAGGAACTGAGATACGATGCAAAGCAGAACAAAATTACATAGGTCTATGAGACTAGAACGGATACATCTGAGGATCATACAGTAATATATGTCTTAGTGAGGTCATTCTCTATAACTCTGATATATCATGAGCACATGGTAGGGTTCCTGATGACTGGATGATGTAAACACCAATAAAGGCAGGAGGGAGGGATCTAGCATCAAGGTGTTTTCTTCAGAAATATGGAGAAGTGATTTTCTGATCATCTCTGTTATCCAGCATGGCAGTCTGAAGTCAACAGAATACAGAAAACCCCATTTGTTTTCCAGCTCTTGATCATAACACAATGACTGAGAAAGAGCAGATAACATCTGTAAATAAAATCTGTTTTCAATAATGAGCATATAAACATGCAAAGAAGACTTAACAGAAGACAAAAGTGTCCAACTGTAGT